GGGGATATGATTACTGGTGTCTGATTTGAACCACATAAAGGGAAAGAATGTCAGAAAAATGTTTATTCTTGTTGCTGTTAGGTGTCACTGCGCCATCTGCAACTCATAGCAACCCTATGGAACCTGTACATAGACCAAGCAGAAGAAGTTCAAACAGAACAGGAGGACACTGCATACTTTAAAATCAGGAAAGAAGTCAGTGTTTAAGGCTTTCACCATGCTTATTCAATCTATATGTTTGGCAAATAAACTGAGAAACAGGACTGTAAGAAGAATGTGGCATCAGCACTGGGAGAAAATTTCTTAACCTGCTACATGTAGATGATACAGTCTTGCTCAAAGTGAAGTGGACTAGAAGTGTTGCCTGATGAGAGTCCCAGACTCCAGCCTTGAGTATGGTTAGCCTCCACTTAAAGAAAAATCTTCACAACTGAACCAGTAAGCAATGTCACGATGAGTGAAGAAGAAGGAAGTTTTCAAGGATGCCATTTTACTTAGATTCACAATCAATGCCCATAGAACAGCAGTCAAGGACTCAAACAGTGAATTGCACTGGGAAAATCTGCTGCAAAGGACAAGGATGTCACTTTGAAGAATAGGGAGCACCTGACCTGAGCCATGGTATTTTCAATCACTTCACATGCATGTGAAAGTTAGAAAATTAATAAGGATGCCATTGAATTGAGGTGCTGGCAAATAATATTGAATATACCATGGAGTGCTGGAAAAACATGCAAACCTGCTTAGAAGAAGTGCTGCCAGAGTGTCGTGGAGGCAAGGATGAAGAGAGTTGCACTCACAATCTGTCGTGATATTATCAGGAGGGGACAATCCAAAAGAAGAACATTATGCTAGAACATTAAGGTAGAAAGTGAGAGAAAAAGAGGAAGAGCCTTAATGAGACAGACTGACACAGTGTTGCAACAGCAGGTGTACGTACAGCTGCAACCACATTGTGAGGATGACACAAGATGGTAGCACGCAGCACCCGGGGTCGAGTTGGAACCAACTTTATGGCACTTGACAACAAAAAGCAGACAATACACTCTAAGTCAAAACAATAACACATCTGCTGAGAATTTAGCTAAAATAAAAAAAAAAATTAGAAGTCAGCATTTCAGATATCGTTCCAGTAAAAAGAATTTCTTGTCAAACTAATGATACTACAAAACAGGTGGTTAGATAAATATTGACTGGTTTTCTATCAGAAATTCTATACTAAATACCATATTTGTTTTGTTTTTGGTTTTTTTGGATACCATATTTGTTGGAAAATGTCCAACAAAGTTGATCTTAACTATTAACTAGTCTTAGGAAAGAGCTCCCCAGATTATCCTACAGTGGTTAAAAAAGTTATATATTATAGCCCAACATGTGGTCTCAGAAAGATCCTGTGAACAGACTTTACCCAATCGTACCATTTGAGGGTAGAAGTCTTAAAAATCATCAATCCTCTCATTTTAGAAATAAATTAACTAAAGTTCACAAGAGGAACTAAATGTCTTACCCAAGGGACTTTTTGGCTAGTGGCAGATAAAACACCACAATCAGATAGTGGCCTTCCCTATGGTCTGTCCCTAGCTGTTCCCAAATGTGTTAATAATCACTTTATATAGAAAACTTTGAGAAGTTCAAGATGTGTGTGAGCTAGATTGGGGGGAGGGAAGGGGGGCGAAATAAAACCTAAATAAGGTCATTCTACTTTCACCTCATAGTTTTTATACACCACAATCAACAACCAGTTCCTCAGGACTATTTCTTTAAGAAACTCATCTGATTGTTAATATTATACTTCTAATAATACTGCTATCATTTACCAAAGGCCTATAATGAGTTAAACAGCATGCTATTATCAGAGGGGAAGCCTTTATAGCATAGTGCATAACATACTGCTGGGCTACTAATTGAAAGGTTGGCAGTTTGAACTCACTATATACTCCATCAAAGGATGGGTGGTCTCCTATAAAGATTTACAGCCTAGGAAACCCAATGGAGGGTCGCTATGAGTTGGAATTGAGAGCAAGTTGGATCTTGGAGCTCTGGTAGCAAAATCCATAGGAAGTTGCACTACTAATACAAAGGCCTTGCTTCTCTAGCAGTTTGAATTCACCAGCAGCACTGAAGGAGAAAAATGGGCAATCATCTCCTACTCAACTTACAGTCTTGGAATAGCCAATGGAAGGTTTGGGTCAGTTTAACTATAAGTTAGTTCCAACTCAGTAGCAATGAGTTTTTGTAGATTTTCAGAGGTAACACTATATATAGCAAGGTCACTGGGCTTTTAGTAAGATAAACAGAGACGGGTTGTATAGAAACACACCAAAATTTTTAAATATCCTGGTATTGCTATATATTTCTATTGATATAACCAACTAGTAAGCACTAGACCAGATGTGAAGTTCCTTGGTGACACTCATCAAAAGGGCAGCAGTTCAAACCCACTCAGAGTGTCTTAGAAGACAGTCTCTGCAACCTACTTCTGAAGGTGAAAGGTCATGGCCTCCATGGAAAACCTCACAGAGCACAGCTGTACTGAAACAGGCCTGGGGTGGCCATGAGTAAACTCAACTCGACATTAGCTAACAAGAGACCAGTTGCCTTAAGGCTACAAAAATGTCTATATTCTTTGTTTTAACAGTGATCAAACTTGTCCTTTTCTCATGAACACACAGAAGATACATTTCCCAGGCCCCTTTTAATTGAAAAAGGGCAATGCAATTGATTTATGGCCAAGGAACTGTGGTGACAGTGATATAGGTTTTTGCATGAAAAAAATCTCCCACAAGCAATCAATCCTATCTTGCCATCCCAGAGGCCCTGCAAGTCTGATTTACCACTTAGAACAGAGCTGCCAAATCCTTTAGAGTCATCTGTTAACACTTTCATGGGATTTAGCATAAGTTATAGTAAACCGCTGACTCAGGATGTTTGTTATTACAACTAACATTAATCATTCAGATTAATTACTACAAAAAAGAATGGAAGACAAGAATGAAACAAAATCACATAGAGTAGTGAAACTGGAGGCTATTTTCCACCTTTAAAAAGCATTTTAAGATGACATAACCTTGCTTCCTGAAAGTGAAGAGGACTTGCTATGCTTATTGCAGAAGAACAAGACTACAGCCATCAATATAGATTGTATCTTAACATCAAGAAGACAAAAATGGGCAATATGATGACAGATGCAGAAATCTTGCTTGGATCAACAGTCAATACTCTTGGTAATAGCTGACAGGAGATCAGGAGATGTACTGCATTTGGCAAGTCTGCTGTCAGGGACCTCTCCAAAAGACTGAAGAGCAATTATGTCAATCTAAAAACTAAAGAGCACCTGATTCAGGCCATGGTCTTTTTAATTACTTTATACGCATCTGAGAGCTAGGCAATAAATAAGAGGATGAAAATAAGCAGCACTGATTCCTTTGAATTGCGATGTTGGAGAAGAGTACTTAATATTGCATGCACTGTCAAATGAACAAACCAATAAGCCTTGGAAAAAGTACAGCGAGAATGCTCCTTGGAGGCACAGATGGCAAAGTTTCGTCCCTCTTACTTTGGGCACATTGTTAAAAGAGGTTAATTCTTGGAAAAGGATATCATACTTGGAAGGGGAGAGGGTCAGAGAAAGGGAGGAAGACTTCCATTGAAATGGATCCACATGGTAACAATAGCCATGGGCTCCAGTGTATCTGAGATGGTGAGGATGGCACAGAATAGAACAGGATTCAGACCAGTTGTACACAGGGTCACTATGAGTTATACTCAACAGCACCTAACAACGACAACAACATTCCTTGGAAAGGGACATTGTACTTGGAAAGGTGGAGGGTCAGCAGAAGAGAGGAAGAGTCTCAACAGTGACTACAGCAATGGTTTCAAATGTGTCAGAGTTTATGAGGACAGCACAGGATAGGACAGGGTTCACGTCTTGTTCATAGGTGGGCTATAAGTTGTACTCAACACGATGGCACCTAATAACAACTATGAAAGAATTGATACTTTTTACATTTCTATACTGATTGCATTTCTTTAAATGAGCACATACTGGTATTGCTATTGAAAAGCTAGTCTTTATTAAAAGTAATCAAAATGAAAAAAGATAACATGTCACTTGAATTTTTTGTGTTTTCCACAGAACAAAATTGAAATAAGTCCTCAGTTCCTCTTACTAAAAATAATACCATGGTTTTTTACTATAAGTGGAGTTTTATATTTTACAAAATGCAAGCTTTATCTCAATTGACTCTAATAAAAATATGCCTTGTCTATTTCTTAAGACATCATCATCTTCAATTCAGAAATGGAAAAAGTGAGGTTCAAAAAGCAGTAACCTTTGTCCAAAATCACATTAGCATGCAGCTGAGCTACTATTAATATCATTGTCTTTTTAATCCTAATCACATGTTTCTGTCATTACACCATGCACCCTCCCTTACACAGTCCTATATCCTGTAAGAAATACATCCTATATAAGTTTGTACAAACCAACAGTTATCAAAGTGCCTACATTTGTGATTCTGAAAGAAATATTTGGTCTACTCTTAGAACTGTCACTTGTATCAACACCTGCAACACAATAAGTGAAAGAAAAACCTGTACTACAGTTCTAAAAATGACTCCATAACCAGAGAATTACAGATTTGAGAAGATACAGACTACATCCCTAGAAGAAATCAATTATATTTAAATGAAAAGTAAAAGTAATATAAGAGAATGCACGTTTAAAGTCTATTTGAAATGCTAGGGACTATATAAAGATATTTGTAGCTAACATATATAAAGATTTATAAGCTTATCAACATAAAATTCAATTATCTGAAAAGACTATTCAAGAGTCACGTGTCTTGCATTTAGATGACAGCTGCTCATAAGAACTTTTCACATAGCACAATAATTGAGCTTTGCAAAAAGCAGCGAGATAAGGCACAGAGAACCATCTGTATTATAACAAAATTAAATGTACCAATCTGTGGGTACAATCCCACAGATTTCCTTACCTTTGTATGTCTTTTCTGTATTACACAAGTGAAGTGTAAAGTAGGTGTCAAGGAGCTGATGGCCATTTCGATTAACAATGTTTCGAGCTGCAATGTTCCGAAGATGCCGAAGACGTCGCTAAAAAATAACAAAAAGAGAAGTACTTAACTTTTTCCTCCTATAAAATTTACTTAAAGTCACAATTTAAAATAAAACATAAAAAAATAAATATATAAGCATTTGTGCCAGCAATTCACTAGCTGGGCCAGCTACCTTAATCCAAGTTCTTACTTATACCTCAGTATCTCTTCTGTCAACAGGATCTACTTGCTCTGTATCATTCACAAGAGCTCTGTGGTGCTGTGCTTAAAGAATCTGCTGCTAACCAAAAGTTAGCAAGTTCAAACACACTAGCTACTCAATAGGATAAAGATGAAGGCACTCTGCTTCTGTAAAGATTTACAGCTTTGGAAATTAATGGGGCAATTAGTTCTAAACACTGTCCTTCAGGGTCAGTGAGCTGGAACTGACTTGATGGCAGTGTGGTTTACATACCTCACATGCAAGGTTGTTGTGAATATGAAATAACAACAAAATGTAGCTTCAAAAAGCATAAATATTACACAAATGGTGTACTCATGCAAGACAGCATCAGTATTCCCTGATTATAACCAGCTAGTAATTTGCTTTTTTTTACCCCTCCAGATGAAAAGGTAGCAATGTCTGTATCATACCAACGACCAGTTACTGCATACCAGTGCCTCTGCTGGTAAGTCTGCTTGTACGTCAAATTATTTGTACAACTAGAAATAGATGCCAAAGTAATAAAGAAAAACAATTACTGAATGGTTATACCAGCAAGCCAATAACTCAAGTACTATAAGCTTAAATCAAATTTTTCACTTCTACTGCAGCCAACCAGTCTCTAATTCCCAAACAGGGCCCTGTCCCAACAATTTTTCCAGGTAGGATACTTTCATTATTTGGGATTCACAAGTATTAGAAACATAAAAACACCATAAGCAACAGAAGAAATTATGATCAAAAAGAAATTATAAACAATACAGAAGTCTGGGTACATCAAATTCATCCCCAAAACCTAGTTCTCTAAGTCAAATAATTATTTTCAGAGACTTAAAAACAGAAGCGAAATGTTCCATTTAAAATACAGTGAGAACTCTCCCTTCAGGCTGGCAGGCCATTCTAGCAAGGTAAATCCATCTTCAATTACAAGTGCAGTCAGGAAAAAGAATGCAGTTATTTTTCCATCTACAAATTCAATCCCTTCTCACAGCCTACAGATTAAGATTCTTTGCTTAAGCCTCTAAGTATGAAAAGCCTCAAAGGATATCCTAGAACTCTCTGTATTATCTTTACAACTTTTCCCTAAATCTAAAATTACCCTAAAACAAAAAGTTTATCTGAAAATGAAAAAAAAAAACCAAAAAACTATCACTGGTTTTTTCAGAGTCACCAGGAGTCCATGTGGGACCATAAGAATTCTAATAAACTATTTAATGAACATCACTGAAGTAAAAGCCTCCTCCCCCATTCCCACACACCCACCAGTGTCCACCTTTCTTCCTCCCCTCTGCCCAAGACTTAAAGAACTATTGGAAGGCTAAACCAGTAATTCAGATGAATGGTTAACTACGGGTGTAGGTTGCAGGGACAGTAATAAAAAGCAGAATTTCCTGATGTACATGTTTACGTAGCTTTGAAGTAAGCAACATACTCAGAAAAATGAATTAAACAAATGAGAGAAAAATTAAATCATCAAAGCCTAGTCCAAATGCAATAGAAATGTGTGCTCTATCCCTCACCATGGCACATATTATCCCTGTAATATTCAAGAAAGTAGTACAAAGATCAGGGTAACCAAAGGCTCCTGTTTCTCAGTTAGGAGATCTACTCTTGACTACATTAATCAGTAATTGTACTTAACAGGGGGAAATGCATTAATTACAGATAACTGTCTATCTTCCCCAACTAAAACATCCGAAACTCAATGAGGGAACACTGTATTAACAACTATATCCTCAGTATTTAGATGTTGTCATGTGCCATCAAGCCAAAACTGACTCACTGCTGACCCTTCAGTGGGTTTTCAGAGGCAGTAATTTGCACAGGCACAGAGTGCCTGTCTGACCTGGGCAGAGCAGCTGGTAGATCTGAACCACGTGCCTTTGGGTTGGAAGCACAATTCTACTTACCATTAAGCCACCAGAGCTACCTTGTTAATACAATGTTACTGTCATGGCTATAAAGACTGGTGATGGTGCTGCTTAGGAACCTGAAAGCACTTTTCTTGTTAATACTATTAAAACTGCTATTATTAATAATACTACCCTTTTAAAAATAGTACTATTAATAGTACCACTATTAACAAAACTACTTTAAAACATACAGTAGTCTAGGACAAAGAAAATTTTTTACAGTAGTTTTATTTGTCTGGCCTACACAGAACTTGAGAATAATAATTTAAAAGATATTTATTCCTTTGCAGAATTACTCTACCCTACTAGTGGCAGTGTCATGATGGACAGAGAGGGGAATGAAATTGTCAACAGCTTCATCTTGCTTGGATCCATGATTAACACTCTTGGTACTAGCAGTCAGAAAATAAGGAGACACAGTGTACTGGAAAAATCTGCAGTAAGAGACCTCTCCAGATTATTTAGGAGTAATGACATCAGTTTGAGGACTAAGGTGCATCTGATTTCAGGCCATGGTCTTTCCAATTACTTGTTATGCATCTGAGAGCTGGACAGTGAATAAGGATGACAGAAAAAGAATTAACACCTCTGAGCTATGGTGTTGGAGAAGAACACTGAATGTCTCATTGGTCAACAAACAGATGTCTTGGAGAGGGTGCAAGACAGAGTGCTCTTTGGGGACAAGAATGATAACGCTTCACCTCACATACTTTAGGCATGTTGCTGCTGCTGCTAAGTGCCATCGAGTTGTAGACAACTCATAGTGACCCTATGAACGAAAGTCCTTGATACCTGTATGCATGACTTTCATCCTTTCTCCAGGTTCATTAGGGTTTCCGGAGGTAAGCTATTTACGAAAGTGGATGCCACTCCTGCTTCCAAGCTTGTTTTAACCAGGGAGCTCCACCAAACACTGTCCACAATGGGTAACCATTACTGCATTTGACACATCAGTGTCACAGCGTTCAGCATCACAGCCACCACAAGTTACCTCTGTATAGCAAGCGGACACACCAGGGCTATATGACCTAAAAGAATGTTTGACCAAAAACAATTAAGAATTGGCCTGAGGGCCACAGATTAGCATCGCCAACCTTTCACTTGGTAGCATCGCTTTTGGTCAGCTGGGCCAGCTGGTCTCTCTCTGTGTTGTTAAGTGTCGTTGAGGCATAGGCGACTCATAGCAACCCTATGAACAAAAGTCCTAGACGCTTGCGTGCGTGACTTTGATCCTTTCTCCAGGTTCATAGGGTTTCCAGAGGCAAGCTATTTATGGAAGTGGATGCCACTCCTGCTTCCAAGCTTGTTTTAACTGGGGAACGCCACCAAACACTGTCCACCATGGGTAACCGTTATCACATTTGACACATCAGTGTTACAATGTTCAGCTTCACAGCAGCCACAAGTTACCTCTGTACAGCAAGTGGACACACCAGGGCATGTTGCTAGGAGGGGCTATTCCTTTAAGAAGGGCATGATGCTAGGAAGGGTGGAAGGTCAGCGAAGGAGAGGAGGACCCTCAACCAGGTGGATCGATGCACTGACTGCTGCAATGGGCTGTTGTGTGTCACGAAGTATGAGGATGGTGCAGGATACAACAGGGTTCAGATCTTTTGTTCACAGGATCACTATGGTCATATTCGACTCAACAGCACCCAAGAACAACAACTAGTGGCCCATATACTTCTTGTGGAGTTAACTTTACACCCAAATTCCAAGGACGTTCATGTGACTCAAACCTAACCAGTTAGCAAATCTAGCCCCTTGACCATTTATCTGACTCAATTAGAGGTAATGAATGACCCAAAAACTGTCTTTAAACTGTAGAAAAGGTCCTTTTCTCCCTCCGCCAGCACCTGTGGGCCTGCACGGACACAGGGTTAGAGATACTAGCAACCACCTAGCCATCACAAATAGTTCTCACCACACCCTGCCCAAACTGCGTATTTTGGGGAAAAACAAATGAAGTTTTAATCCATTAATTTTTTAATGGCTTTGTTACAGAGCAATAGGTAATTGAAAGAATTTATCTAGATTAAGCACACAAAACTATTTGATAGGAATGAGGAACTGGTGTGAGGTGAAAGGTAGACAAGATTATAACTGGAGGAAAGGTAACTTGGTAAGATATATTACTATAGGTGAGAGATTGACAGAATCTTTCTGTATGAGAGTCAAATACTAAACATTTTTAGGCTTTTCAAGATACATCCATTCAGTATCTGTCACGTGTTCTTTTTTATATACATTTTGATTGATTGCATATAATTCATATACATTGTGTTACACTCATGTACACTACTTCATACATTCATAAACATCCTATTGTATAAAATTAGTTACTACTGATCTATGCCTATTATTATCCTGTTATCTATTATTGAGAGTTCTGGTGGCTTCCTGGCAAAAAACTGCACTGCAGTAACAAAGGCACAGGGTTCGAGGCCACTGGCTGCCCTGCTGGAGAAGAATTGTCAATCTCCTCCCATGCAAATAATGTCTCTGAAAACCCACTGGAGGGTCAGCTATGGGTCAGTTCTGACTCTGTGGTAAACAACAACAATATGCCTATTACTATCTTATCTGTTTACAGTACTATTCACTCTCAGACTCCTGTCAAGCCAAACTGATTCTTGGCTGACCCTCAAATGGATTTTCAGAGGCTGTACATCACATGGGAGACTTCCTATCTGCCTCCCACAGAGCAGCTGGTGGATTTCAATGATCTAAAAACCATTTTAAGTCTCACTAGGCACGAGAGAGGAAGACCCTGGATGAGATGGATCGATTCAGTGATTGGGGTAATGGGAGTAGGTGTGTCAGAGACAGTGAGGTTGAAACAGGATAGATCAGGGTTTAGGGCTCTGGTACAGAGGGTCATTATAAGTCGCAAGCAACTCGATAGCACATAACAACAAAAAC